GCAGAGCGTCGTGAAAATTCTGAATAAAATCGCGTTCCCGTGCGGAGCATTTTGAAAATTCGGTCGATTTTCGTATGAACACACGTACATACATACATACATACATTTATACATACATACATACACACATACATACATACATACCTACCTACCTACGTACATGCATGCATGCATAGACACATACACACATATGCATATACATTTACATGTGCATATACATATACATATACATGTACATACACACCCAAAACAAACATTTTCGGGCCTCCTATATGGGGGCCCGTATATATCTCTACCAGAGATTTATAAGGGGCCCCACATGGCAGGTCGCAAACACCCCAAAATCCTGCAACTGTGGCCATCAGTGGACCAAATCTGGCGTGATCTGCATGGCTGGTGTTGTCGAAGCGCTGGCTAATCCTAGTATGGAGACATACTAGGGACGGTTCGATAGCGCCAGATTTTCTCAAGCGCTTTTTTCTGTTGTGTTCGAAAGCTTCGCGATACGGCATCCCACATTGCTCACAACTTGAGCCAAAGTCACCCAAGGACTTGGGGCAGAAAATCAAAAAGGTCACTTGTTTGGTGCCCCCCAAAACCCGCTCCAGACTGCCGTCTCGTAGAAGTGACCTCGCGACTTGGTGGAGAAAAGCAGGCAGGTCACTTTGGGTTTCCGGTGTTGGGATTAGTTTTAAGGACTTTAGGATGAGGGATGAGGTTTCGGTGGCTAGAGTTCAGGGTGATATGTACACGTATGTTGTGAAAGTCTTTACATGTGCAACCATGTTAACTCATCTGTAGATGTTGTTCTCTCGTTGCCATGGGGCTCAAGTAGGGCCCTTGAGTCATACCTCTTCAAATTGGTAGCGGAGCCGAAAGGCCCGGGCCGGGCAACGCGCGGAACTTTCCCGGTCTCGCACCTGGGGGAGCCCTAATTCACCGGTACAATTCGCTCACTTGTGTATATGCTGTCCTTTTTCCCCCTGCAGACGTCATGTCTGTCGCAAGACTCCGTTTCCAACGGTACAGTGCCACAAGAGATCTCAGTGGCCCTTACATCTATGGAGGAGACCTAGCGTCCTTCCATGATTGGGAGTTCAGAACGCATATGCGCCTGAAGCTCTACGAGGATGCAGTGAGGGCAAAGACCCGCAAGGGTTCTGCCAACGGCAGCGACACTAAGTCAGAATCTGGTGATGATCCGGCTAGTGCGAGTGAGCAGGAGGCATCCGCCCCTGCTGCAGCCGCTGAATCTGCAGATGAACCGCGTACTCCATCAGAGGCGCGTGTCACCGGGTTGTCGGACGCGGCAAAGGCGCTGGATCCAAGACCCGTTCTCAGAAGGGCTTGCTGTTGTCTCAGACCATGGCTATGGCTGAGGAAACGACATAGGCTGTCAAGCTTTGCACTGACATGGTGCATCGGGTGCTCGAAGGACTTCGTGATGAAGTTTTTAAGTTGGCCAGGGGTGTCGAATCCCCAACGGAGCCAGGAGGCCTGAGGAAGTTTATCGAGCGTATGCGTGAGGATGTATTCCCACACGTAGCAGAAGAGGCACGAGAACTGTTCCGTGCCGGGCAGAGCCAAGGGACTCTGTAGCAAGACAAGCTGGAGAGTCCATGCTCTCTTACGTCAGCCGTAGGTGGCGTTGGTGGAAGCTGTTGAAGACTCTGGACACCAGCGTCGAGCTATCTGAGCCGATGCGTGTCGGACTGCTGTTAGATCTGTCAGGCCTAACCCGACAGGAGTCCTTGGTAATCAAGGCCTGTGCTGACGACATCAAATCCTTCGAGTCGGTGGCCAGCACCCTTATTAAGAACATCTCTGGCGTGCGCTTGCGTGAGGGCCGCGCCCTGGGGGCGGAACCCACAGTCGGGCCCCTTGGGGCCGGCGCGAGGGTAATGTAGCAGCAAGGGGTTTGGCCGTAGAGCAGGAGGAAGAGTGTGATGAAGAGGATTATACCAGGAAGAGGAACCCTTTTCATACTATCCTGAGGCTTACCCTGCCACAGGAAGCCATGATGATGAGAACGATCCCGACCAGGATCCCGTTGAGGACCTGGACCAGGAGTTCGAGGACTACGAGTTAGACGAGTCCGCAGCAACAGCCCTGAACGACATGGCAGAGTTGGAAAGATATTCATCCGAAGGTGGCCACGCAATCCAGCTCATGCTGGCGGCCAACGCTGCGTTCGGAAAAGCCCGTGGCAAGGGCAAGGGCAAAAGCAAAGGTAAAGGTAAGGGCAAGGGCAAAGTCGTGCGCTCCCACCTTACCTTGGAGCAGAGACGCGATAAGCTGCGCGCTCTGAAGGCCAAGTCCAAGTGTCTACGCTGCAGCGGGACCGGACACTGGGCAGCCCGACCTACCAATTCTGGAAGGAAAGGCGCGGCTAGCGTGAAGCATAGTGCCCATGTGGCACTTACTCAGGGATCTGCAAGCGACGGCGTCCATGTAAGAGCCGGAGCCCCTGAGTTGGCTTCGTGGTGAGTGCCAGCCCTCAGCCACTTCCTGCAAATCCTAAAGCCTTAGCCACCGCGAAGGCGAAGTCAGGATCATCCTACGGGAGATCCTCAGCTTCGACGGCTGTGCCCGCTCCCGCCCGCCGGACCTATGGAAATGGCTGCCGGCGACCGCAAGTTTTACTTAGGCCAGCGTAGCGGCAAGACATTCGAGCAAGTCTCCCGTGACGTGGCCTACGTGCGGTGGACTAAAAGCCAGGCTGAGCCCTCGAACCAGTTTAGGGATTTCCTAACTTGGTTCGATCGCTTCGCTACTATCTGCTGACGGACGGGCAATCAGCCGTCGAGTTTCGGGCTTCTCTAGGTATGCCTCCAGGCCTCCAGGAGCCTATGAGCCGAGACCCAAGCAAGAGGGCTCGGCGAAGCAGCCCCCAAACCCTCCCGTGCAGGTGGCCTGCAACAACTGCACGGACTTTACTTATTGGGCAAGTTCAGTCAATTTTGCCCGCAAGACTTGTAGAGATTGCGGACATATGATGCAGAGCAAGCGCGAGGAGACACGTACTCATGATCCAGAGACGTGTCCTCGCATTGTTCTGGACAGGCGCGGAAGTTCGAGGAGTGTCTCCCAAACCTTCTGCAGGCAATGCGGGACATTCGTTGACGACGTCTTCGCAGAGTTCCAGAAACAACGCCGTGCCGCGGCGAATAGTGTGCTGAATGCATCGGCGGATGTGTTAAACACCGTCGGAGCCCTGACTGCTGAAGACGATTCCGCAGACCTGGGCCCGGCTGTGGTGGAGTCGACCCTTGGACGACTCAATGATATCGTGGTCGAGGCTACCGTGGCATCAACTTGGTCTCTGCGCTGGGCCAGAGCGTGCCACAATGCCCCCGTCCTGCGGGGGTATAACCTGTAGGCAAGTGGCGCTGCGTGGGGAGCATGCTGGGTCAGAGCCAGATGGGGTTGAGTGGCA